TCATCTATAAAATGGAAGGAATTTTATTGTCTTAGACTAATCTCAGTCTCTTGGTGAGACAGGTAGACCTAGCAGCATTATAATGTGTATCTCAAGAGTGTATCACAGACATACTTCTTGACACTTCCTTATGTAGCCTGATAGTCAGTCGTAGACAAGAAATTTCTAAAGTAGAGTCAATGGATGGGATATGCTAGCTTTCATCTGGTATTTGCCCTTTGAGAACCTTCCCTATTTCCTTAGGGGTGTGTACACAGAGTGAAATGACTTTTGCAGTGCAGCACTTACAAGAGCTATTTCTTTTTGTAGAAGATTGCTGAAAGAAAAAATAAAGAGGCATCTAATTACATTTTAAACAGTTGATGAAATATTTTTCTGTACTCTACTTTATCTGTGTGCACTTTCATTCTTCAAATATGAAAAAAATCATCTTGAATATGTACAGCTATTCAGGTACCCTCTATAATGGATTTCCAGTTTTATTATTAGTGAAGGTCATACAAGAGTTTTCCTTTACCCAGTTTGCTTCTAAAATATTGAAGGTTAGAATTTTCCCATCTCAGAAGTTCAAGAACAGCACACCAGGTCCAAAGAATACTCTAGTCTCATTAATTAATCAAGTCATGTCACAGTAGATCTTGTTAATCCATCCTCAGAGAAAACTCAAGTGATGTTTCAATTCTCTATGCAAGAATAGACAGAATAGTGAATAGTGATAGTGTTATACAATTATGGAAAGATAGGCAGCATTTGAAGACACCAGAAACTAAACCAAGTTTTTTCCCCCAACAGCAATTAAAAAAATTTTTTAGATGTTATCTTTGTGAATTAACCTATTTAGATGACATTAGCAAGAACATATTTTGATGATAAATATTGTAAGGTGTTAATAAATTTTAGAAGTCACTTCATTGTATAAAATCAGACAGATTCTTTTGACATCTTTTGTCTATGTGAAGTCACAACAGAAAAATACAGGTGTTCATACTGTACTAGGAGAGCAACAATGACAGTATGCAGTAATAGCTGTTATATGACTTTTTCTTGGCTAGTAGCAGCTTTTACTCTCTAGTTCTAAAAAGAATCAAATTGCTCAATCCAACAATCGGACTCATAGAGAAGTGGTCTATTTTTTTACAGGATAACCAAACATTTAAAGTCTAAAATTTACTAGTAACACTCCTCATTTAGTCAGATCGAGTATATGGCTTCTGTCTTGAGAGTTAATGAACTCCCTTGCCCTAATACCAGTGAAAGTCTGAGCTCTACACAGCAGGTGAAAACCCTCTCAGAGGTCAAGGGGATTATGCTGATACTTCATGTTCAACATGTTTAAATAAACAGCTGAGCTCATTGACTCTTACAGATCAGTGACTTACAAAAACAATCCTTGCATATGGATTACATATACTCCTTATATTAAAGGAAAGTAGGAACCCTCCACATTTAACCTCATAGATATTATGAGGATACAGCTGATACAAACAAAAGTTCTTCAGATCCATGGACAGGAAATAGTTTTACTTTTTCTACCCAAGCTGGCTGTTACAAGTTAGCAATAAAGGAATATGTTTTTTCAGATTTTAAGATCAGATTTTAAAATCGTTGTCCTGCTCACATCTCAAGATCTCTGCCTAGATGTAGATGTTCTTTCCCAACCTTGCCTGAGGCTCTTCTGATAGCTCTGACAATTACATATGAAATTACCCCTCAGACAGAAGAATGATGCATCTGCAGCATGGGTCTGATCCAAAGATCTGTGAAAGCAATGGAAAAACTCCAAGTGGTGCCAGCACTTGTGGATCAGATCCCTGAATTGTTAGTGATAAAGCACCGTATAAAATGTCAGCTCCAATTAAACTATGGCAAAATTCCCACTCTGTTGGGTCAGGACTGCAACTGTAAAATTTTTTCAGTTATCTATACTCCATGGATTCCAATTACTTTCCAGCTCAACACATCTAGAAAAGTGAAGCTTATTTGCAAGATTAGTCATCCTTTTTTCCACTAGTCCCAACACTTCTAGCGCTACTGTTGTGTAAATTGATTTCCTCTTTCTTTTTCATTTTAGTTACTTTTACCTCTTCTTCGGGAACAACAGTCAGTATATATGTGTACTTATATTTGCAATTATGTGCTCTTTCCTTAAATTTGCATCCCTTTTTGATATAAGTTTCACCACTGTCTATGTAACTGAGTTCTGTATTCATAATTTGAACTCCAGAATTTCAAACCACAGATTTTTAATATAATGTGAATATTTATATCAGAAGCATGTGCATACTATTTTAATCAGAGATCAGAAAAATACACCAGGGGATTTATAAACAGTGTCTTATGCCTTTCCAGATGAAGGATCCTTAGGCCAAGGTTTCAGATGATACCTGCAGACATGGCTTCAGTAATTTCAGTCAGCTCACTAAATGAGGAATTGAAGCAAGCTAAATTTACTGTAGAAGTTCCTACTTCTAATCTATACTTAGTACATTCTTTAAACTTAAAAGAACCACCTTACCTGCTCCTGTTTAGAATAAAATCTCTGTCGTAACTAGTTAATTAGCTCACTTAGGCACTCCATTTTAACATAATTATTTTTTCATCCAATTACCTTATTCCTAAGTCTCCATTAGCAGGTTCAGAACATAAATGTAGAGTCCCTTCTCAGGTTCACTGACTGCCTAATCTTCCTGTGCCAGGTTATGATCCTTCCAGGCCACACCAAAGCCTCACTCTGGAGATTTCCCACAGAAATGTTGAAAAACGGAGACTGCAAAGATCCATGCTGTAGCTGTGGCTGAAACATTTTCCCATGTGATTAGAAATAAGCAAACGAGGATAAGCTGTTGCCAGACTGAAGCACATTCTCCCCGTGACAACCCTACTGACTACGTTTAACTATCACACACATTTTTTGATCCTACAGATAGCCATGCCCCTGCTCTCCAGTATCCTCACTGTTAATTGCAGTTCAGTAAACAGGCCTGGCAGTATTGCTTATTATTAATCAACAATTTTTCTGCATCAGTACATTCACACTTTTGCATTACGTACATAATTTTGCACTGCACTTGCATGACAGCTTCCAAAGACTTCCTATGAAGTCTTCCTATGCCTTCAAATTCAGATAGATTTCTTCCTGCCAGAGGCTAGAAGGAAGCTGTGAGAGATCTAGACCATTCAACCTCAATTCACAGATGAGGAGGCTGTACGATGGATTTGTTTTTCATCCAATCCCCACTTCCCTCAACCAAACCCTTTCTTTCCTCTTCACTTACTTCTCAGAGCTCTGTGCACCCACATGATGTACATAGAGTCTCTCTGTTTACAGATGAAAATCAAGAAAACTATGGATGAGAGGAGACATTTGTAGTCTGCACCAATATATATAGACTTGTCTTGCCTGTGCATTTCCCAATTGCTGTTTTCTATTCCGAAATTATGAGGAGTGGCCCAATCTCACCGACCCTAGCACAGCTTTGTGCAGTCATTTTTCAGTAGCCCCATACTGGAATGATCTCTGAAATTCTCTTAAGTACCACGCTCCCATGGCATTTAAATGTACAGACACCTTGCATAGGTTCACATAGGTTTATGAAGTCATGACTAAAAATGCATCCTTAATCAGTTAATGCTTTTAAGGTAGACCTGAATTTCCTTATTATACATCAGTATTACGAAGATTGTAGAATGACAATCTAAAGCATGTTATATCATAAAAATTCAAGGCACCATAAAGTCCTTATAGGAAAACCAAATAACCTGATATTTAAATGATTTTCAGTATATATTTTAAAAAAATACCTCTCATCCTTACAAAAAGCAATACTGGATGAAAATTCATGAGGATCAGTGAACTCTATTTTTGAAAAATTGTTAGTAATGAAATGAGAAATATAAAGATAATGTAAAAAACATGAAAATAAACAATAAAATCCCAAAACACTTGCTAACCAATATTCACATAGTAGCATTTTTAATCAGTAGTATCTAAAAAGAAATCTAATCTTTCATAGAAGAATGGAGGGTTCATCAAGGAGATGGTAGCTAATCACAACTACTCTCTAGGTTTGGATTTAGATTTCTACCCTTACACTTATCCGTTACATTTATGCACTGGTGCTAACTACAAACTACAAAAACAGGAAAACATAAAGAAGTTATTTCCACATCCATTCTGCTGGTTTATTGGTTTTCTCTATATCCCCTACATCTCACATTTCACTTGAACCATTTGTTTTAGATTTTAAAGGAAAAGCCTTCCAAACAAATTAATTTAATTAAGGCTTTAACATGTCATTGGCTAGTCAGTATTATATTAATCTCTGTGATCCTGAAGTTTACAAAGCAGGGGTGTGGGGTCAGATCTTGATTGTCCTACTCACACAATTAATTACACTGATTTTAATGGTACTGTTAACATTAGTAAAGCTCGCAAGATCTGGCTTCTTACAGCTGCCAGCCTGCCTTTCCAATGAAAAATGTTGTGATTCTTCCCTGTTTATAAAAGCAGAGTTTTTTAAAAATTGCAGTTACAATGTTTTGCTCAGGCCCTTCTTTGACTGAGCCAGGCATTTTGAGGGAACCATAAAGTTCTTAATATGCACATTTTCAGTCTTAGCAATTTAATCAGAGCATTCTAGAAAAACAACAGGCGTTTTTCTTGTCTGAGCAAGCTCATCTCTCGGAGTCGTATGCTTATGATGCAATTTTACTTTTCCATGTGTCAAATTAGCCATTTCATCAACAGTTACACAGCAGAGCACTGTCAGGTATGCGTACCAGGAAATCACACAGTGCTTTCCGTTTGGTGCCTTGCACACTTGCTGTGTTCAGTGCTGCATCCTTCCTTGTGCTGTGCAGTGAAGTGCATACATACACAGCCTGGGATTTAATTTAATGTTCACCATTTATGCTGAAGCAACATGAAGAACTAACTAGTCTGAGTGAACCTGAAATAGAAGAGAGCAGTCACAGTGCCAAAACAGAAAAAGAAATTAATGGGATGAAGCACTGTCTACCTAGCATATCTGTGAATCAAACATGTTGTCCACTGCAGAAAGCAGACACTCAGCCCTGTCTCCTGCTTTCTTGTCTTTGCCTGAAATGGGGATAGAAAGAGAATATCATGACTCTGACTCTGTATGTGTGAAAAAATTATTTGTTATGCTTTCAGTTTCTAATGCCACAATGAAACAGCAGCTTCAGCTCTGGGGTCTAAAACCTTGAACCCATAAGTCTGCATTAAATGGCAGCATTGATCTCCCTGCTCTGAGAGGTAGAATAAGAGCATTTTCTGACCAGCTTCCTCTTGTGAAATGCAGTGACCAGGTGCACCTGGCCTGCATGGCCAGATTTTGAAAAGAAGCAAAATTAAAACCTCTTTTGCTTGGTTTGAGTGTTAGTTGCCTTTTCTACTTTATATGACTGCAGCCAGCTTTCTCTCTGCTTGAAAGGAAATTTGGTATTTTTGAAAACAAAAAGTGACATTATTTCAAAATATTTTTCTTGGCAAGTATAATGAATAAAAACAACCCTGCAACAAAATTAAAAACAACATTGTGAAGCAAATGTAACAATACTTAAAAAAAGACATTTATGCAGTTCATAATAAATATGAGACCAAAAGTATCACATTATATATACAATGAATGTTTTTAGAATAATATTTTTAGCATTTATCACCTACATTGATATTATAGTATGATTATTTCTACAGAGGTCAGCCTCCCTGAATATGTGTTTGTGTTCTCCTTAAAAAACTCATGTATATTGGAGAAACATGGTTTTTCAAAAGTGTTTTTAAAGTCTAGAGTATAGGAGAAATGTCACAAGGAAAGATTCCCAGATACCGGTACTCATTGCAGCAAGATTTGCTAAATGTAATTACCTAAAATGCAGTGCTGATTTGTTGAAAAATGTGTAACATTGGAGCATAGTTAATTAGCACAGAAAAGCTCAAGGGGCTTCATACTAATTTATATCACATGAGTAATGAGAAACACAGGAATAAAAGACTTCTTGGGTCACTCTCTACACTCCTGTGTGATCACAGACAATTAAATCACATAATCTTAATTTAAACTGCACTAGGTATGTACTTTCAATTTCATTGGTATTTTCTCTTCAGATATGATTTCCCAGGCATATTTGCACCCTTTCAATTTTCTGAGGGGTCTCTACATTTGCAGAGTAACTTTACTCATGGCCTGTTTATATATATTTTCTTTTAAGTCAGTGCTGCCCTTTAAGCTTCAAAAGATCTTTCCTTTCTAGTGCTTTTCCCTCAGTGCACAGAAATAAATCATATCCACTCTCAGTTTTTTGTTTTCTATGACAAACAAGCAACGTTCTTTTAGAGTTGTCTCAAGGGATGGACTTTCCATTCTCTTTTATTTTAGTGGACACTTTCTTCATCAATTCTATTTTGAAACTGATACCTTTTGAAGGGAAGTGGACAGAATTTTAGACAATCTTCCAGAGGTCTGATCAGTGCTTTGAACATCTTCAAGACTATTTTCTTTACAGAAAGGTCTCTCCAAAATGCCTAAGAACTGTTTCCATGTCAGTGGAACATAACTCAAAAACATTCAAAAATTGAATTTCAAGCATTGCAGGCAGTTTCCTTTCTTCTTAGTTTAAAACCTGTAAAGTGCTGTGGTATAGCAGATGCTCTTCTCATTAGTCCTTAAATGGATAACTGCACTTTATATAATTATATATTTCCCTTTTTTATTACTTCATTTCTTAAGGTCCCAAAATATTCCAGTTCTACCTTTATGTTTGCAATGGTTTTCAGGTTCTATCATGAGAAAATTTTGTTAGCACACATCTATCTTTCTTTTTTTCCTTCTAATGTTATAAATTTAAATATTTAATTTAATCAAATTAAAAACTAAAATATTTTTAGATGCATCTTACAAAAACAGTCTCTCTCTATGAGCAACCGCCCTGTAACCTGTGACGTCTCCTGCCACTAGAGTCATTACTCCAATTAATTATTTCTGTGGTTGCTTCAAATTTATTTTATACCAACTCTTAAATTTTTTATCTTTGCTAGTGATTTCCCATGAGGCCTTAAAACACTGTACAGCAGTCCCAAAAGAGTAGGCATTCTGTCTAAGTCTGGAACACTGGTTATCAGTAATAACGTCAGGTTACACTGGATCTGTTTAGGCAAGCTTATGTTGCTTTCCAGCTCTTTTTCTCCCAAGCCATTAACTATTCTTTCTTTCAAGTATCATTCTAAAGTCCTGTATAATGATAAAGGTATATATAAAATATTTTTCTCCTTAAACAAAATATCCGGGGTTTGTTTTTTTTTTCAGTCTGAGAGTACAGTCCCTGACTTGTATCAGTTTTTTTTAATTTTAGTTATTTATCATATGCATGGTTTCATTTGCCATTATTTGTCTCATTGAGGAATAATTTACATTGTTTTAACTTAAGCATATTAATTGCACTGTTTTACTTTAATTCGTTCATATAAGTATTTTCTAGCTATTCCCTTTTTTTTTTGTTCCTCTGTTCATCATAACTTCCATAATTGAAGAAAGGTATTAATTTAGCTCTGAGTCATAATGTTGTTTCCTTGACTGCAGCTTTGTTGCATGGTGGCCTTTTTCTTCTTCTCCTGTTTTTCCTGTAATTTTATAAATAACTTTTTCATATTTCTTTATGAATATTTTATATTTCTTTTTCATATTACCACACCTTGGAAAACATAACTATGTTTTCCCTGATTTTGAAAATAAACAGTTGAGATCAACAATTTGATGAGATCCCCTTTGAAGCTAAAAGCATCAGAAGATGTAAATCCTATTTGAGGTTTTCCAAGGGGTTTGCAGTAGCAAACATGCCAAGCAAAGAAACTAGATCTCTCTCCTTTAAAAATATTACTTACAATCACCTGGTACCACCTATTTTTGAAAATTGTTGGTATTAGCAGAAGGAAATGAAGGCGTAAAACTGCAGTGAGCATGTAAAACTGCACTCATGATAAGGCTTAAGGAGCTGGCCAGGAACAGGCTACAATGCAGCGTCGCTCAAACACAACTAAGTTTTGAACAGAACATGAACACAACTGTGCAAATCATACAACCCTGCAAGGATCACAGTGCTGTGCAACAGTATCTTACTGTGACAGACATCACTCATATGTGCTTCAATTTGTCTGGAACTGAAAGATTAGGTTTAGGAAACTTTGAAGGGTTCCCTGACTTAAACAGCTCTATCCTATTTATTAGGCAACAGGAACGCACTTGACAATTTCTGGAAAAGGCACATTCAGTCATTTGTACAGGTCCTTCATGATATATTTTCCACCTCAGATGATAGTTTGCTTCTGCACAAATGAAATCATTGCTTCATGAGTGAGTTTAGCACTTTTTTTCCAAAGATTAATTTCTACATTATTCAAAAGCTGTGGAACACAACCAGATGTTCTGGGCCTGTCAATAAGGAAGGTTTATTCAGGAATGTGGACTATCTAGCAGTGAGGATTTGCTTTACTAATAGTGAGATTCCTACTCCAGCTCATGGTTAAAACTTATCTGCCATGTTGAAAGCTGAGCTTTTCAATCAATTTATATCAAAGTGTGTATGGTATTGATCTTGCCCAGATGGTTTATCCTGTCTGTAATTCTATTCCAAAAATAATGCTATTCGTCTCCTCAAGTCCCCAAATCAAACCTTCAGACCAACCTCTACTTTCATTCTATTGTTATCTTTTTGAAAGAACTTTTGGGGCATCAAGAGGAAAGGCTGCAGTTTGTAATTGGCATTCAGACAGAGTGCATTGACAGTCAGTCTTTCCAAAGAGCTAGAGAGTCCGTAATGGTTCAGTATGGCATAGACCCTAGTGAGGGTGGTTCAGTACCTGTGTGCATTCATGCATGCTCTCCAGCCTCATGATGGGCGGGATGAGGCATAGGAGGCAGGAGAAAAGGTTTTAGTGAGAAATCTTTTTCTGGTAAGCAGACCACCTTTGGAGATTAAACAAATTTCTCCATCAGGTAGAGGGAATTCCTGTGCATCTCTGCACTGCCTCTTTGCACATCTGGTAGCCAAAGCCTGCAAGGCCACTGATTGCAGCATGGTTTCAATAACCATGGAAATCACAATCTGGCTAACCTTCACTGCATGCAGGTCCACCCTTTACACTATCTCCTTCCTGGGCCCTGGCCCTATGATTTTATTTATTTCTGTGAAGAATACTACTGCATCGTGCACATCACTGAGGTATCAAAAGATTTTTGTTCCCATTTCACATGTTTATTTTTCTTATTCTTTATTCCAAGCACTGATTTTCTTACAATATATCAGTAATAATTATTACTTATCTCAGCAATGACTATTTCAGCTTGCAAATATGGTCTTGGAAAAAAGCAGAATGATATTCTGATTTAAGGACCCTGCCAGTAACATTAACATTATTGGTTTGTATGAGTAATATGAACATCATCTTTTTTAAAGGAGTATATTTCTTCTGTCCTCCTCTGGCAAGGCTATACATTAAAGGAAAAAATGTGTCAGAACACCTAAAAGACCTTTTTGGAGATTTATTATGCTATATATGTTAATGGAAAATATCAATTCCATAAAAAGACATTCACATTGATTTTTTTATATCCAGCATCTTCAAAGCCAGAATGAGGATTAAAAATATAAAGCAAACAACAAATAATTTAGTTCTTAGAATTTCTACACATACTGTCTTTCATTATTGAAGTCTTATGTCACTTTCTTTAACCAGAAGCAAAATATCTAGGTTACACATATTTTATATCAATTTCAGTGTACTTCAAATGAAACTGACCCAAAGGCTAACAAGAGGAACACTTTTTGACTGATCAGGGAGCAAAAATGTGTGATTTAGCTCTTTGTTCAATGCCAATATTTTTCTTTTTTTACTCTTAGTACAAGAGTCTTGTAACATATAAACACACAAACATAGGATGAAATACCTACTCTGCTGAAGCAATCATATCGCAGCTATTGTTTCTACATCTTCTGTCTCTACTCTTGCCATTCTTTTTGACTCACACTGTTGTCCGTCTTTCTTTAGTTTCTTCATTAGTTCTCTCCTTCCCCTGCTTGTCTTTGGGGATAGAGCCTGGGGGCAGAGGAGAAATTGGTCAAACTGGGAATACTGTGAACTTGCGCTTGCAGCCTATTGTGCCAGAGCCAGTGAGCTCTTTACAGAGACTCCTTTCACTTCCATACCATTTTGTTCCAGTACCCCATTTTCAAATCCTGCAAGAATGAATCCTCCACTCATCCCTTCCTCAATATCCCATCTCTTTGTCAATTTACTTCTTCCACTGTGACCAGCCCTAAAAGATAGACAAGAATGCAAAAGCCAGTTCTAATGAATACTGATTTAACATACTATGTTTTCTGAGAAAGGTGCATGCAAAGCTTTGCAAGATACAATACAGGAGAGATTAATAAGGCAGCCCTTAAGTTTTAAAAATTACATATAAAACACCCCATAGAAAACAACATAAGTTATGTGTTTGAATCTCTGTTTGTTTTCAACACGCAGGAAAATTTCTCCTCTGTTCAGTACTAAACAACTCTCTTTATTGTCAACAAGTCATCATAGCCTTTTCTTTAGAGATCCACAGCACAGAAGCAAAAGCTGTGGGTGAGACAACAGTGAAGATACTACACAGCTAGTGCCTTAAGACATTTCATAATGAAGTCAAATTAGAGAAGCAGTTCTTTTGGTAACTGTAGACCTGAAATCTTCCAAACAAGACAGCACATTCTCTTATTTTTCCCTCATACAAAAAAACCCAAAAAACCCAAAAAAAACCAAACAAACAAACAAACAAAAAAAACCACACGAAAAAAGAAGGCTTTCTTTTAAGGATAAAATCAGTTTCCCTCCTGAGCTTATAGACAGCAGATTTTTTTTTTTTAATTTACTGGAAGTATCAGTGTATGATTGAAATGGGAGAAACAGGTGGAAAACGTAATACCTTTTCCTATGAATATAAGTGTTATCAGTTGGCTGTTGTACTTACATCAGTCTTTTGCAGTAAAAGGCATAAGCAAAAGGTTTCTTCTGCACATAAAATTCAGGATGAACAGAATTACTTTGTCACACCATAATTTTTCTTCCATATATTCTGTATCTATAAAGGATCTGCAGCAAATATTCACACTACTTGAAAGACAGGGGTCATTTTTAGTGTAGTTTAGAGAGACTTGTACCGTTTTCTTTAATCTTTTATAAACAGCCTTTAGATCAAAAAATTGTAGAAAACAAAGACATAGACATAATTAATTTTAAGTATTTTCTGGGAACTCACACTGAGGATGCCTTGCTCCTTACCTTAACTTGGCCCATTTCTCCCAAGCTTCATGGAAATCAGCTCTCAAATCAGGTGAAACTTCATTATAGTAAATATATTGATTTTCATATCAGAGTCATTCAAACTCAGTCCTCTCCTGTTTTGTAGCAAAATCTTGTACATGGTAAAATTGCATTAAATTTCATAACAAAATCTTTATCTAGGTTTCTGAAAGCTTGCTTAGAGAACAGGAGACAGCTGGCTTTCTGTATGGTTTTGGTTTCTTTACTTTACCTGTTATTTCACTCTGCCATTGTGTAACTGTCCTAAGGTAAGGAAGGAATCTCTTCTCTATATTCTCAAACATTATTCCCTTTAGCTTTCCTATGCCCTCACAATGTGGAGTACAGCCCATGATAATACCACCAGCTTTCAGCTTTGGGTTGTTTGCTCTTCTTTAAAGTAACACTGACCCACACTGCTGTTTCATGTAGAAATGCCACTCTAATCCTGTTGTTCAAACAACTAGAGACTGTTGTTTACAACTGTGCTCTTTCAGAGACTTTTCAGTCCACTGAAGAGTGTACTTTTTCATGCCAATTTGAACTTATTTCTCAGTTAAGAATTCTCATTTAAAGGATAAAATTCAACAGTGATTGTATTTACTCAATTAAATTATCCAATGTTTTATAAAAATTCACAGAAAATATTATAGACTTCTGTAACCCCCCCACACACATTTTTTCTTGACAAACTAATAATTTCTCACTCTCCTCCATATCTCCCAAGAAAAGTTAGCATTTTCTATCCAGCTAAATGCTTAAAAGGTTCACAGTTTCACTTGTATGTATCATTTAACTTCATAAATCAAATACATCTTAACCAATGATAAATGACCTGGTTTAGACTTCACAATTTTGTCTTCAAAACAATTCATAATGCAGCATGTGTTTTGTATAATATACACTAAAACAAATGGCATGACTTTTCCTTACTTCAATGAGAAATCTTTTAGATTTTTTTTCTGGATTCTTCTTCAATTTTTCAGAGGAGCTGAAAACAATATATAAAGCTATTGGACACCTTATACATAATCCATCAGTGCATGATTTTAGAAGGGCTGTTTCTGAATAATTACATTGTTTCTTCCAATGGAAAAACATCCAAGATAAAATTATTTTTAAACAACATAAGGGCTGAACTAGAGAATAATTTATCATCAAAGTAAGTCTCTGTAAAGTATGGAAAGTTAATTTAACACTAACTTGAATGTAAGGGAATAAAGGTTCAGGCTCACTCTTTTCCATTGACTTTTGTACAAACCTCAGAGCTCACACGGCTTTCTGTACAAATCCATTTCCCCTTAGGGTTATGAGAACAAATATCTCAAAGATTGTGAGGTACTCAGATACTACATGGAGAATGAAATGTAAGAGGTTTGAGAAAGTACTCTTTAGAGGAAGAACACCAAAAAGTGCAAATCACCACAAAGCGTAGGTCTTGAGTAATGCAATTTTTTCTCGACTCAGAATTATTTGAGCAGGGAATTTCAAAATCAGAAGGGGTATCTGAGAAAAGAATGTAAACTGGTTAAGAAACTATGTTTACTTTGAAAGCCTACCTCTTGTCTTGCAGTTTGGATTCAGTATCTGAGTGCTGATGTTTCCTAGGACTCAAACTTTCATTCTCGTGTAATGTCAACTGGCTAAAACAGCAATGAAACCTACAGCTAAAAGAGAGACTTTCCATACTATTTTTTGTCTTTACTCTGCAACTTGAACGTTACTTCTCACTAAAAACTAGCTGCCAATCAAATATTTAAGATTACTATTAGGACTGGCTTATTTTTGTACTAGTCAGACATAAAATGTCATGTAATGTTAATATCCAAACTCCCGACCTTAGATTGCATAATAAAAATGTTCTTATTGTACAAATATAAAACTACATATAACTTGCAATCCAGATAAAATATATAGATTGTTTAAAAACAGCTGCAGTGCCAAAATTTTAGTAGCAGTTTGGAAGAGATGTCACCATCTGGATACCTTCACTAGTATCTCTATGAGACCATTTAAGTCTCCTGACTGGCTTCTACACAGAAAGTAATTAGAGTGAAGCACAAGGGATGAGTTCCAACTGTGTTAAATTTAAGGTGTTTTCCTTCATTAAACTGAGAAAAGATGATTAAAAAAAAAGGATGAAAAAATGAGCAGACAATTTTAGTTTGATGAACACCTCATTTTCTTCCTCTTCACTAAACAACAAAAATCTGGTTTTTTTTTCATTTGTCAAGTATCCATAATTTTTCCTTTTTATTTTTATTTATGCGCTGTTAACAATTTTCATTGAATCTTGACTTTTTGTCTCTGCTATATTTTCAGTTAGTGTCATACCTCTTTTATTTATTTATTAGCTAATATTTCCTAGGATATAGGTCAGCTTATTTTCCACTTTCTTGATTTAGAAGCAGAAAACTCACAATTGTGCTGTTGGGTGATAAGTATTGTAAAGTGGAGACATATTCAGACAATGTAAAATAAAGATTAAGCTGACCTTATAAAAAAGGAAATCTAGAAAGAAAATTAAAAAAAATAACAGCTACAATTTTGAATATGATTGTCTGGAAGAGCCAAAGGTCTCTTCAGTTTTTCAATGTAGCAGAAAAAAGGAATTGCAAGTTTTAAAAGAAACAAATTAAAAGCTTTGGGCACAGACAACAACACTATAACAATGTCTTCCATGTAAAAGTTCTGCACTGGGTTTTATAACCTCAGAATACAGTACATAGGTAAAGATGAAATTGCGTACAGACATATCTAGAAAGACACGCACACATACATACACAAAAATATCTATTTTCTTACATATGTGTTGTTTGTATATTGGTTTTTTAATAAGAGTTTCTGAGTGGCCTATACTATTGGTTGTCCTTAAAATCCATTACAGTAAGGAATGATCGCCAGCTGTCTTGTTTCATATATCTTTCTCAGCAGTATGCTTTACTATTTACCTTACATTTCTTTAGAACACAAAGTGTGAATTTTCACAGTGTCTTGCTCAAGGGTCCAGTGTTTTAAATTATGTAAGATGCATTGCCTGACTTGTGCATTCCACAGAACAGCTCTAACAGCTCTGATGGTGTTTCTGCATTTCTTTACTTATTTATATATTTTCTGTTTGGAACTTGGATTAAATTTTCTCACTTTTTTCTTCGCTGGAGTACAAATGGAGGTGTAATGCATTTCCAACTTGTTGCCTTTCATTTGTAATTCTTGAAAGCTTTGAACCCAGTTCTATAAAACTGCAGCGTTTTGCAGTCAGCAGTGTTAGACTGAAACTAGAAGACCAGTAACCATGAATTTATAGAACTTTGTTGAAAAGATAGGACCAATACAGTGTTTTTATCCTGGAGGAGACAGAATGCTTGGGAAAAAAAATTGTGAGGGTCCTGTAACCAAACGGTATTTTGCCTTTCACCTTCATTCCAAACTTGCAGGAGTCCCTGTCAGTCACCTATATCATACTGGCTACACTAATAAAGAAGCAGAAGGTAAGAGTATTCTCTGGTATTCACTACAAATCTCTCTCAAGCTAGCCAGTATGACAAGCACAGTCTTTAAGGTAATAGTGCAGTACAAAATGATTTCAGTTTTGAAACATTTCAGCTCTTTCTGTTAAATATCTTATCACAACTTGCTGGCAAATCATACTATGTTTTTAAGCCAGTGTCAAATCTATTTCAAAAATTTTAGCAAAAAATTCACATCTCATTGTCTAACAAACACTGATGGTCAGTGACTACTGAATCAGTTACAAATTCCTGATATCTAGTAATGCTAACAAAACATTTCTTTCCAACATCAAGATAACTAAAAAAGTAGAGATTTACACTGATTAAAATTTTGAAGGCTGAAAGATGCGTCCAACAATGTATATCATATCAATTCAATTAACAACTGTGGACAACTTCATTATAGATGCTGTATAATGTATATGTGCACATGTACAAGACCAATGGCTTACAATACTGTAAAAGAAACACATCTCAATAGGTGTTCATCATGAGTGAATGTGACACATTTGAACACATTGCAGCCTTTTTTTTTTCTGTTTTTTTTTTTGCAGTATCTATAATTTTGAGCGAGAAGGCTGGAGGAACAATAAAATACAGACTGCTTTTAAAAATTTTATTTTAACCCAGTTATGCAGTGTTCCATAATACTCTATTGATGTTCAGGTCTTTGATCATTGATCTGAGTACGATTAACAGTCACAAAATCAAAGTCAGAAGACAAGGATAGAAAAAATAACCAGTTAACAGGACTGATGCCGAAACATTGGTAATAAATAGTCTAGAATGGAATATTAATGAAGTTTGGAAGGTTGTGTCAGAAGAATTGTACACCATTGCACCACTTGAGAGATATAACCAAGCTGAAGGTAGTGAAAACACTAATTCACAGCAAACATGAAGATGATAAAGTTGTCACAGTCACTAGCACTACTAATAATCATATGCCAATGATTATCATGCTTCTTTGGTACAGATTTGATTACAATTAATCGGCAAATAATTATTGAATTAGAATTAAAAGTAGAGGTAGAAATCAAGGTTGAAGATTCTGTCAGTATGAAAGCAAAGTAAGCCTAAATGTTTTAGTTATAAAGACAATAGAAGAGAGATTAAATAAAAAAAACCATTGTCAATTAATTTTTTTTTTTTAATACACAGCCTGCTATTAAGACACCTGTATAGGTGTCTTAAGTTCAAACCATTATATTTGAGTTGCAATAGTGACAGTCACACTTTTAATTTTTAACACTTCAGAGAAACTACACATTTTTGTTTGACCTGTTCATCTTCTGCAATCACAATATAGTATTATTAAGACTTGAACCCAAAGAATTACAAAATTTAAAGTTAGGTTGTAATTACTCTGCGTTACATTGATTTTCAACCATCTGGACTTAAAATATCTTGTTTGAGTCAGTTTAGCATTATTTTTTAATGAAAACACAGTACACTTTTGAAATAAGAGTCTTCTGTCAGTGACATAGTGTTATTTTCAGCTTCTTGAAACACAAACAGTATTACCGATTTATTTCAATCATTTCCCATAATGCTCAAAGTAGTGGAGGTAGATACACTCATTATTTTTGTGAACACAATCAATAGTAGGAGTACATCTATCCTCCTCTGAAGGAAACAAGGTTTCTCTTGTCTGGAGATGAAGACATTTTCAAATTAGATCAATTTTTTCTTATTGCCTCAATCTGTTCCCCTTCTTCTGCTTTCTAACCTCAGCCACAGCAACTAGTCTCCAAAAAAAAAAAAAATCACATCTTCCACATTTATTTATACTCATGACAGAAACAACAAAAACAACCAAAGCAAAACCAAGCAACGTATATTAAACAGCATAGCCAAAATGAACTTCTTACTCTGCCGTGCTATGAAAGTGGTATCAGTAGTCCATAAGTTGCAATTTCAATATGTGCTCATTCTTCATTTGATGTGTGCTTTGACAAGAAAGAGGTTTTGTGTGGTTGGTAACTGTAAACTGTCCATGCCGTTTATTATGTAAATGATTTTGTCTGGGTGTTAATTTCACAAACATAATAAAGCCTACTACTATATTTTATAAATCCATATTCTTAAGAATAGTCTTATTTATCTTTTTTACCCATTTAATTTGCTTGTTCTTATTTTTTTTCCTTGCAACTCTAGCTACATTAGTTGTATTCCGGTTACCTCCTTTCAGGAGATGAATATGCTCCCAGACTGATAGTCAACCTTTGTAAACAATATAATTATATGTGTAAAAGTTCCAGCTATAATTTATTCTTGCAGAATGATCTACAATATGTTTTACAAGACAGCATTTAAAGTCGAGTCAACATGTGAAGGCATTCAGCAACATGCATAGGCAAACATCCACAGAGTCACATCCTAATCTGCATTTAACATTCCACTTCTTATTAGGGGTTAAATAAATTCTGAACTGGGAGGATGATCTTCAAATCTTTTTTTTTTATCCAGGCCATAGTTGACACATGTATATATGAAATAAACATGTATTTCATCATCATCTCTAACAAAACATAGTAGGTTCATCTGGTCCACTACTAAAACGGAATGCATTCAGCATATAAGGCAGCCAGGTTGACCTTGCAGTACAACTACTTATGGGACAAAACTGAATTAAAATATGGATGAGAAGTTCATGGTAGAGAAAGATTGGAGTTCAAGGTAGCAAAAATAAACACATGCCATCAGTACCCGGGTAGTTTAGAACAAATATTGTGAGTAAATCCATCCCAAATGACTAACAACTGCCCTCCTGAACATTTAACCTGGTATGCAAAATATATATTCCCAACCCATCAAACAGCATTTTCAAAAAACTGTCAATCTTTTGATGATTTTTGTATTCATTTTTTTACTATATTTCTGGTCTGCTTGATATACTTTTGTATTAAAGAGGAAAGGGGAACCGGTGAGCAAAACTGAAAAGCAGAAGACTAAGATAACGCTTGGTCTCAGGCAAGAGACCACTTACACAATCCAAAGCCCATTGAAGATGTCAACAGAAATGGTCCCATTAATTTCAACAAGTGCTGAATTCAGCTTGTTTGAAAATTATTCAGTTCTTTATTTATGGTAGTAAAAGGGAAGAGTACCAACTCAAGCCAGAGGGAAACGAT